TAAGTGGGATTGTTTGTTGAGGGTATACACGAAGGCTACTGATTTGAGAGCATTAAATTTATATCATGCTGAATTTCTGTATATTCTTATCTGTGCTAGGAGTTTTCAAGTGGAGTCTTTAGGGTCTTTTGTGTTACAATCATATCATCTGCAAATAAGAATACCATTTCCCTTGAATTCTTCATACTGATTTCATACATTCAAACCTATACCCACTTTTCCTTGTTTGTCTTATTGCTCTTGCTAAGATTTCAAATACTATATTGAAAAGGAATGGGAAGAGCTGACATCCATGCATTCTTGTCTGTCTTGAAGCTGTTGACCAGGGGTCCATTAGATCCTCAAACAATCCTCTTGCTCTTGGTTACCCACTGTAACTTCATGGTAAGATCCTATTACTGAAGACACTTCATACATGAACTGAAGGATAAAAAAAGAGAAATCAAGCTGATGCTGACTTCAAAACCTCATCTGTATTTGTTGTTTTCCACAGTGCTGAAAGGCACTGTGTATGCTTCCTGAATTGAAAATCAATCATCAATCTTAACAACCTGGGATTCCTGGGAACTACAGCAATTTGCCTTGCAAGATACTCACCCTGGAGCAATAGTGGCTATATTTATGGGAGTAACCAATCACATTCTTATTGGATTTATGTTCCTCTTCATAGGATAGAGCCCATATCTGACACTGATTTTAGGCTTTGGAATTTGAGGCTAGACAGTTCACAGGATATAAGGGAAAGCATAATACTAGATTTCTGATAACTAGATATATTCTTAATCTGACTCCTAAGGACCTCTTGTTATATCCTTATATTAATGCATCTCTCATTAAGCTTCTTTATGAAGCAGATAATGAATTACAAATAAACACACAGCTGATCAGCCTGCACAGAGCAAAATGCTGGCTGAGTGCTTATTCCTGAATAGGACACCTTTATGAATCTTCTGCCTCCCAAGACTTAGGGATCATTGCAGAAAACGGGGCAGAAAGATTCTAAGGTCAGAGGTGGTGGAAGACCACAAGGAAATAGAATTTTCCAGGAAGCCTGTACAATAATTGTAATGAACTCACAGCCATAGGGAGAGCATGCATAAGTCCCACGTAAGCTGAAGGCAGAAAAAAATCACAGCAGAGTCTTGGGAATGTGGGAAAGAAACTCCAAAAATACCCCAGAA